AAGAAAATACCTTTCTTCTTCTGGGTTGGTGTTAGTCCTCTCAGACAGAGCAGAACATGATTGCTGAGGAGAAGGCGAAAGAAAATCCAGTCCTGAGGAGAAGGCAACACAGCACCATGGACCCGCCCCCAAAGCCATCAGAAACAGTAAGTTTGCTGGGGGCATTTTATGTTTCCATTAAAGGAATAGCTTGTCCTTAAATCCTGAGCAGCAACACAAGACTGGATAAAGAAGGCAGAGGATCCATCCCAAACCACAGTCGCACTGAAGACGGACAGGAGCAGATTATGCTTGGGGATGAGCTTGCGGAAGACTGTGATTTGGGGGATTCTTGGTGTTCCCTGTTCCGGGTTTGAGATTCCTCCTTCCGCACTGGGGAAAGGAATAAGGAGCTAGAGGCAGAAGAGGGACTGTTGGGTAGAGCTGGCTATGGTTTCTGGCCTTGGGCTTAAAGAAAGGGTTGATCGCCCTTTGAAGCAAGAATACTGAGAGCGCCTGCAACTTGATAGGAGGCACTGAGTGGCAGGGTTTGAGAGCAATCTGATATCACATTGATATCACTAAGACCGAACTTCTGTTCCGGGTTTGAGATTCCTCCTTCCGCACTGGGGAAAGGAATAAGGAGCTAGAGGCAGAAGAGGGACTGTTGGGTAGAGCTGGCTATGGTTTCTGGCCTTGGGCTTAAAGAAAGGGTTGATCTCCCTTTGAAGCAAGAATACTGATAGCGCCTGCAACTTGATAGGAGGCACTGAGTGAGAGGGTTTGAGAGCAATCTGATATCACTAAGACCGAACTCGGTGGGAGGCCCATTTGTAGCTTGAGAGCTACAGGAACTCCCTCTTGGAAGCATGGCTGCAAGAAAATAGATGGACAGGGAACAACAGAACTATTGGAGGAAAGCGAGTTAAATGTGGGTTGGATGGAAGTTCTCCTGGTGCTCCAGCAAACAGGGCCTCTCCCCGCCAAATGCCACCTGTGAAATCCCTCTACAGTCCCATCCCTACCTGCTAGCGCCCCAAACTAGTGGTCCATGAAGTGAGGTCCCCAGACCATCAGCATCACTATCACCAGGGAAGTTGTTGCACAAGCAAAATCTGGCTCCTCATCCCAGACCTACTGAATCAGAAACTCTAAGGTGGGGCCAGCAAGCTGTGCTTTAACAAGCCTTCCAGGTGATTCTGATGTGTGTTCAAGTTGGGCCTAAACTATGCAGAAAAATGTTTTTCCCTAAATGGAGGGCAAGTGTCCTATGGGTGCAGAGTTACTGTTAAATCTGAGATATCAATGCTTGAAACTGGAAAGCAGAAAACTTAAAAGAGTTGTGTAGCTCATAGAGCAATTTGAAACATCTAAGTTGTTGAACTGTGGCCGTAGTGGGGGCATAGGGAGACTCTGAACATGGATTTTTGGGAAAAGAAAATTGCACGATATGCAGATGTGAGATAATTACTACCTACGTGGTGGGGGCACCAAGAAAACGTTGTCTAATGTGCTTTAATCGGGTAAAATGTGCAATGTTGCTGCTGCGTAAATATGTCCTGATGCGCAATGGTAAATGCCTCCTTTTCTTCTCTCCTGATTTCATTTAAAACTATTCCTGGGGGAGCAAGAGACTGGGCCAATATCCACAGACCTAGTGGGATGAGAGTGATTTCTCAGTGGAATTCATAATAGAAAATGGTTTTTGTTTTCTGGGCTAGCTGCTTCTCCATCATTCTAACTGCCTGCCCTTCACTTTATAGCTGGGCTGGATTAATTCCCAGAGAACGGAGTCATTATCCTGACGGAAACCCGAGCACTGATTGGGAGGAGAAAGAATGGGGGGTTAGTGGGGTCTTACTTTTGCCCTCATGCAGTTTAGAAACCTGTCAAATCGAAGGTGTCCTGGAGACACATTTTCTGTTTTCCTTTCCTGTTTCTCACCCTGAATTTACACACTTGGGTCCTATTGTCCTATTTATATCTCTTTGCATTCTCCTTTCATAGGTGTGTTTTGGCATTCATTAATGAAATACCTACTGTGTGTGGTGCACAGTGCTAAATGGCTTCAAAAACCCACACTTTCATCCCATCTTGTCCAACATTTGCAAAGGCGCAGACTGGAAAATAATTTTCCTTTCACACACACCTCCATCACTATTTTTTCAGGCTTTGGTTTGGCCTCTTTATGTTGTCCTTCAGGTGAAGAAATTGGGATTCCCCATGTTTTAAGCTATTTGTGAGAGAGGAGGTAATTTTTAGAAATCAAAAGAGAACACACAGATATGCTTTCACTGTGGAGCCTTGATCTGTGACTTCGTTGGTCTGTGATTTCTGTTCCTTATTTTTCTACTGAATAGAGGACAAGGGGTGGGAGTGAGTTGTACAAATAGCAGGCAATCACTTCCACTCTTTTCTGTGTTACTTTGCAGGGTGCAGAATAGACCTCTTATCACTTGAGGCAGATACTTTGGGCTTTTTTGGTCCTTGCAGACGTACATTGTAGCTATCAGGAGACTGGCCAGCTGCCTTCCACCAAGGCAACTGAGTCAAAGTGGCAATCGAACCAGTACTCCTCCAGGCTGAAATGGCAGAGATGCCCATACTGTGAACACAAAGGGCTGTGCTCTCACCTCCTGATAAACAGCATGGTTAAAAACTCTCATCATATTTCTATAAACAATTGAGAGAAATAAATCATTGTAACCCATGTCAAACAGGAACTGACAGTTTTTCAATGTTTGGGAAACAGAAAATCTATGTCTACAAATACAACCTCTTGTCAAGATCACTAGAATCATTTCATAAAGGAACCTTTGGGAGGGAGGTAAGTAATGAGTGTTGGCCTTATTTATAAAGAACCCAGGATAGGAAGTTGTATGATTTTTCATGAAGAAGCACCTGGTCTCTATTCAATAGTTTTAGTCTGTAAATTCCTAGCAGTCTACATTGGTATTTTTCTTTAACAAGGCAAACTTCGTGCCATTCCTTCTTCAGGTGGATCTGTTGAGCGTTGCCCAGGAATCCATTTCTGGCTGCGGGCTAAGAGACTGGGAACTGAGATTCAGGTCAGCCCGTATCTGGTTGGAATCTCTTCTCCTCTGCTTTGCAGCTGTGTGCCCGTGGCATGTGGTTTACCCTCTCTGAGCCCGAGTTTCCCCATAGAGTGCCATAGGATGACATGAGATAATACATGTCAAGAATTTAGCCCAGTGCCTAGCCCAGAGCCCAGTTAATATTAGATAGGATTGTATTTGTTATCAATTAAATATCTAAGGGAATTTCAGTTGCATCTGTTTTACCAATTTTCCTTCTTGTGTTCCATCTAGTCAGGACAGCGCTGTTTTTTATTTTTTGTTTTGTTTTGTTTTTTGTCTCCCTCCCATGTCTTTTCATCTCACTCCTCATCCCAGGAAAGGGTGATCATGAGACACCATTTGATCATGAGACAACCGTTTGAAATGAAGTCTGCTTTGTGTTTGTCCTTTGGGAAAAGGCTTTGATCACCAGCCGTGCTGTGGGTATTTGGCAGGCTGCCAGCTCCTGTCTATCGTGAGAGGCATCTTAGAAGGTTTAGATATTAAAAAAAAAAAAAATAAGAGTGAGAAGCAAAAGGGCAGCTGGTAGATTCCTCGAGGAATCTACCTACCTACCTTTGCCTACTCCCAAAGCCCTAAGGGCCACCCCACTTTCCAGGGCCTCCAGTTGGCCAGTGTCCGGATTTCCAAGCTCCTTGTTTTCCTGGGCTACGAGCTGGCAGGGAGTCCATAACACTGAGCCCTTAGCATTCCAGTGACTTACAAGCCAGTGTTTCTCTCTGGCCCTCCTTAGAGTCTGCCGTCTCTGGAATACTGAGGGCTGTAAGAGCCTCCGTAAACAAGTAGTGGTGGACAGGAAGAGAGGGGACAAGAGGGCAGGGCCTCCTCCAAGGAGCCCTCCCAGCAGCAGTATGTAAATGACTTCTTGGAATTGCCAGCCTGGTCCTGGAAGATCACCTTGCAAGTGGGCCCAATGCCAGCCTGACAGATGGCCTGGCTGCAGGCTGCACAGCCCACATTAGGTCCATCCAGTATGTGTTCCCTGGAGGCAGCAGGCCCAGCCAGGAGTGTCAGGGAGGTTATCCAGGGGCATGGCGCAGGCTGCAACATGGGTTCCCAGCTCTACCTACCTACTACGCTCCTGCCTGCAGTGCTCTCTCTGTCCACTTAAAAGCAAATCTCGGCGTCTCATGATTTTCCGTTGATGCCTGGCCTAGATTCTACATGACAGCCCCTCACAGAAGTGGCCAAGTGTTCCCATCAAATGCACCAGCCGCTGCAAAGTTAAAAAGGATAATAAAACAGCAAAGCCTGCATGGAGACTTTGTTCAGAAACCCTATGACATGTACAGAGTATTAAAAAAATATTGAACTTTCAAATTTTATGATTTCATGTCCTCCAAGGCCACAGTCCTCTTATCATGTTCTCTTTTTAAAGCATGCACTCTTTTTGAAACAGTTAGAAAGTCAATGTATAACTTTTTTTTTCTCCCTACACTCGGACTAAAGCCTGGGGAAATTTAATGTTCCTGGAATCAGCCTGTGGGTTTGAGATAAGGATTCAAGGCAAGAAGCCTTTTAACTCAGAGCAGAATCTGTTTGCAGCTCTTGTCCAATTAACATAAAGTATCTGGTTACTGTGTATCTTGCATAATGCATGACAGTGTAAACCAAACGTTTTAAGTGCTGACATTGAACTCCTTGATAACAATGAAGGGTGAGGTAACTTGTTAATTTTTTTTCAAGAAATCTCCTGAAAAAAATGCTTCTCAAAACTGAATCAACACTTTTGAGCTGAGATGCAGCCGAGGGTTGCCCGTGTGTTCTCACGATGATATGAAATCTAGAAGGAAGCAGGAGCAACCACATGTCACGTTCTCTTTAAGAGCTGGAAAAGCTGTCAGAAGAATTAAGATTAAACCTCCTGTGAGTCCGTGGGTGTGGAAAGTCACCAGCTAGCTAATATTAACATAGCTTGCAAGAGAACGCTGGTGCTAGAAATAGGACAGTTGCATCACTACCACTAAGCAATTTGCATTCGGTGGACCAGCCCCTAAATTCCTCCTGGCTCCTACAGCCCTCTGGGCATTGCATTTCTGGACGCTTTTAGACGGAGCTCACACTTGGCTGTCGTGGTTTCCCCGGGAACTCTACCCAAAAGAAGAAGCGGCAAGAAGAACATCTGCTTTGTGTGCGGGGAAGTGGTCGCGCTACCAGCAAATCTTGAGGCATCTGTGGAATTGTGAAGCTAGATTTCATATGGTTGTCGACAGGGAGGGGCAGACAAGGACCTTCTTGTTTTCCTCGTCATGGATAATCTGTTGCCTCAATCTAAATTCTCCTACTTCAAAAAACACCCTCTCCATGCAATTAGAAAATATGTCTCGGTGCTGAGGAAAAACCAAAGAGCGGAAGAACAGGTATCCTTTTCTTTATATTATCTTCAAGGTGAACGGGATGTTTGCTCTTGGGTGTTGCTTTCACGTCACTTGGGGATTTAGTCTCTGCTAGTTTACCTGGGTAGAGGCGCAGGTCGGCTTCCGAGTGGGGCTGTTCAGACTTGCCAATCAGAGGAGCAAGCAGGCTCGTGAGGATTTATTTGAACTTGGAACATTTAGATCCTTAGATTAGGTTCCAGTTGTGTAATACAACCACATGTTTTTCTTTTTTCTGAATAGCTAGACTAAACTACTCTATCAGAGGTAAATGGTGGCTTTCTTGAAAATTTTCTAGGTCTTCAAATACAAATTTTAAAACTATTATTATCTCCACCAAGAAAAGTTATCAGACCCTAGATATACATTGTCTTCTTGTATGCATTTATGGTTATATGAATATCACCAGGACTTGCAAAACAGAAAACATTGTGTAGACTGTAAGTATGAAAGCTTTAAGCAGATCCCTAATGAGCTGAGAAGGTCATTCAGAAGTAATTAGTCATTTTCTTGGGTGGAGTGTAGGGGGTAGAGGACTGCAGGTTTCAGTCTTTTCAACCAATCAAAAGTTAGGATTTCCAGTAGTAGGCTCTAGATGTGGGAGTATAAATATTTTTTTAATCACTGTTAGAATGTCTGGTCACTTCTTCTTTAAAATCACGGATTAAAAAAATCACGCATTCATTCCATTGTCATGAGACATATATCGTTCTATCACTTATGAAAGAGGCATTTCTAAAAACTGCTCTCCTGAATTATACCACATTGTTAGAAGAAACCACTGTCCCTGATCCATTAAATCTGGTGGTTCCTTTAGAAAGAAGCATGGCAATGGTGAAGGACAAATGTATAGCCACAGTGAAGACCAGAGTCATAAATTGCTTGGGCATCATACTTGTCATTAGAAATGCAAACGGCACGGGAGATATTAGCAGTGTCCTGTATTTGAATGAGGTGACCTACTTTATCAAAACAATTCCAGGAAGTGAGAGCAAAAGTCAGCAGACAGAAAACCCTCTAATGACAGGTTTCCCCAAGGCGTAGATGCATAATTTGGAAAATCATTACTACTGTTTGAGAGGAAGCTGCTTTTGTGCTGTGCGTTAATGATTCTACATGAGCTGGAGACTCAGACTGTGCTCACTAAGGGGGCTACCCTGAGTAGCCAATTTATCTCTTATTTAGGCAAGGTGTCATGATTACAAGGACATCTCTTGGTTTCCAAGTCTCAGCAGGTGCTTGCTTTTGGAAAACCAGTGGTGCTGTGAGTTGTCTGCCACACTCCATAAGTGCATGTCCACAGGCTTCTTTAGGACTCATTACGAGGGGAGGAGCCGTGTGAGTCATGGGAAGGCTAAGGGGACTGAAAGGATGGGGCTTCAACTGTGGACTGTGCATTCAGTGATTCTCCCTCCCTTTTCTCAGTACTATATGTTTTTGGAGATGTGGCTATATTGCTCACACCATTGATCTTTTAAAGATTATTTTTAAAATGTTGCAACATGCATTCAGAACATGAGAATCTAACGTGGGTCCTCTGACTTGGACTGGCTGGGTTCACAACCATTGGAGGTGACCTAAAACAGCTATGAGCATTGTACTGATTTCCTAACTTCCTGCGTCGGTTAATGGAGAAATAAAGAAAAATGACCTAGTGGATTCTTTTCTGAAACCAATTACAGCTCTGCAGACGTAATGTCTCACAAAATTAGAGAAATTAGGTCAGAGTCAATCATGGTTAACCTTGGAAAGCGTGTTGGAAAGTTATAAAGGAGGTTAAAAATGTCTATAATTTTAGGAACTGGATATTGGTTGTCTCTAGTCCTTACACTCCTGTAAGATGGGTCCTCTTTATAAAGATGAGGGATGTGAGACTTAGAGACCTTAAGAGGTCTTGCCCAAGGCCACTCAGCTAGAAAGTGCTGAAGGAAGATTTGAACTTGATCCATTTTACCAGGCTTTATCTCTGAATAATGCAGTGATAGCATCACAGCAAACTGCTAACATTTTTTTGTAGAGAGTATTTCCACATACCACCGTCATAATTCTTCCCATAAGGGTTCACCACCTGTACACATTTACGTATTCCTTAATATTTTCTGTATTTGCATTTAAAATCACTCACTCTTAAAATTTAAATTTGTTTAGAAAGAAATTTTCATATCAACACTATAAGTGGAAAACCACTCTCATTTGCCTTAAATAGAAGAGAAGCATAATTATAATAAAAGCAACCTAATGTTAAATTATAACTAGATACTGTTAGCTGTGAAACCTCTAAGCCTGAAACCTGCTCCATTTTGTTAAGTAGGAAGATTAGCTTTTAAGAGATTAGTATCCTACTAATCAACTGAGAGATTCTCCTGGGCAAGGATAGAAGGGAATTACAAGAAGGATATCTTTCTCAGTTCCAAGTACTTCATTGTTATTTAGTGTAGTGTCTGCATGCCACTTAAAATCTTCGCCTAATTCATCATTGCTCCCACCAGTGTTATGTTCCACACACTTTAGAGAAAATGATCCCAGACACACCATCTGCTGCTCCACTTCTGTGCATTCAGATATATTCCTCCCTCTCGCCTAGAATTCCTTCCTTTACTTACACCTTGCCCACATCCTTCAAGACTCAGCTTCAATGAGCTCATGAAAAAGCTTTCTCCAATTCTGTTGGGAAGAGTGAAGCATACGATGTTCTGTCTGCTTCTAATAAGGCCCTTTATCATATGGTATGTAGTAAGCCATTTGGTTACATGTTCACAAACATACAGCCCATACACACATGATGCTGGGTGGTATCTTATTCTTTGTCCCCTCAGGCCCACCTGGACACCTGGCATAGGATGATATAGGAGAGACCTGCACCACAGGCCAATTGCCTATGGAACGCCTCCTTTCTTGCCTCTACCCAGTTTTTTCTTTTTCTAAAAAATATTTTTATTGACTTTAGAGAGGAACGGAGAGGGAGAGAGAGAAATATCAATGATGAGAGTCATTGATCAGCTGCCTCCTGCATGTCCCATACTGGGGATTGAACCCACAACCTGGGTATGTCCTAACTGGGAATCGAACTGTGACCTCATAGGTCAACGCTCAACCATTGAGCCACGCCGGCCAGGCTCTACCCATTTCTTGACTAGGCCTGTAGAGTTCCCACACATCCCAGTCATGGTCATTGTTATACTCACCTTGTCCACATTATACTTTTTTGTTTAAAGTTTTTCTTTAATGTTTTTAAACACCCCTTGCACTTGGTGTCATACAGACATGAAGGTTTGACCTCAGAGCTGGTTGGTTTGATAGTTTTTGTTGTCATTCCTATTACAATGTGCCAATCAATGGGTGGACAGGCTATTTATCAAACTGAGAACAAATATCTCATCCTTTGCATCCCTAAACTCTATGATAGCAGGCCTTTCACAAAGCCAAGTTCCTAACCAGGTAGAAGATTAAGGTACTGAAGGTTGGGAAAATTTGATGAACATGTTTGAACAGTACCAGTCAAATGCTGTTTTAGTGGTAGTGGCGATGGTTGGGGGCACCAAGCCTAAATGGGTTCTCAGGTGAGCCTGGGTAGGTATATGGAACACATTCAAAGGGTATATGATTGCAGTTAGTTTATCTTGGTTGGATCGGAACAGCCAGAGTCTGGCTCAGATGTTGATGTCTGAGGTTGTGGGGAATAAACAGGACTTGCAGGCAATATTCTCTTGGGTACTGGAGTCCCAATAGCTTTCTCGGAGGCTCGGGTTACCACGTAGGACACTAAGGAAGGGAGAATTTTTTCCACTTCTGGGCAGACTGTAGCCTGACTGCGGCCCATGTTAGTTTTGTATACCAAACTGCCTATTTGACATCTCCAACTGAATGTCTTGTGGATGTTGGAGACTTGAATGTGTCCAAAGAGAACTCACAAGCTCTGTTCTCCAAGCCTGCTCCTCCTCAGGTCCATCGATTAACACAAAAGCTCAAAAGGGGAAACTTGGGAGTTTATTTATTATTGACAAGTTGATCTTCAGGCAACCCTCCTTGGGGAACATCTGCAATAGTGTCAAAAGTAAAAATTTAAATAAATAAAGATAAATTTTAAAATTTAAAAAGCTTGGGGAAAGACTGAGGCACAGAAGAGCCTTCTATTTGGAGCTCTTGTCCCTCAACTTATATTGCCCTGAAGTAGCCTCATCAACTTGAATCTCTTCTTCCTGTGTCCCATAGATGAGGGATTGGTGAGGGTGCCTTGCTCTCTTGAATAGAAAGACTTCTTTCTGAACAAGAAATACCATCTAAGAGCTGACCTGTTATGTCTTGACAGTTTAACAGTGAATCTGCTTAAAATGAGGAGAGTGGTTTTTGGTGCCAGGGTGCATGTAAAATATATATATTCACACACATATATGTATGAACTAGAGGCCTGATGCATGAAAATTCCTGCAAGAGTAGGCCTTCCTTCCTCCGGCTGCCGGCAGACTTCCCTCTGGCCCCCGGGACCTGGGCTTCCCTTTTCCGGCCACTGGCAGAGACACCCAGGACCAGGGCTGGTTTCCCTCCGGCCCCAGCTGGATCAGGAAAAATGTCAGGAATGACACCCGGTCTATTAGCATATTACCCTTTTATTATTATAGATTAGGCCCTTTAACTGGTATAATATGTTCCCACAAAGTTAATCCATACAAATTTTTGCTATGTCTCTATATTCTTATTATCTGACTATGCAATCATGTTACCATTGATGTCCTTGTATAAATATGGACACAAATGTTGACCTGGACAGGACTGAATGCAGAAAAAGAATCTGTCACCTGTCATCTTGTTTTGTGGAATTCCTTAATTTCTTCAATTATTAAGCAAGTTTTTTCCCCTATATATTGTGCGAGGAGCATTTTTATAGTAATGATGATGTAACAATGAATTAGGTATAGTGTAGCCACTCTGTTATGCTTATAGTGGCAATGAGCAGAAAGAGCTGTACTCAAGTGTTTATTATTGGA